TTCAACCACCACCTGGATCTTACTGTGACTCAACACCACTCAGTACATCAGAGAAGCTTTTTCACCAGATGGCTCTTGAGAAATGAGAATAATTTTTCATCAGTACCTAAATTCTGCATCATAGAACCAAACCTTTGTGCCAGAAAGCATCAAAGGCCTGACCTATGTGAGAAGTGATCACTCTGGCTTCTTCACTCTGATGCCCAGGTGTTTGTTCCATTTACCTGGCTGGAGAAGATGAAGGTCAGGTATTAGGAAGTCTCCTGACTGTGAACCTGAACTGACTCGGTGTCGTGGAGTGTATTTTCTCAGAAGGTTTATTATACTGACAATGCGAGGTCTTGATTGCTTTAACAGGTGTGAACAGGTGAGAAATACGCTGTCGGTGTTTTTAAAGTCCGTATTTGTAACCTCTGTTGGCGTGTTAAGTACAACTACCTAAAATTCCTATGTGTTATATCTCACTCGTGTCCTCCACCTCCTCGCCACCCTCTGCCTAACCTCAAAGACCGATGATTTTTCTTCATAATGTCGAGACTTGAAGCTTTTAAAACATTATATTTCTTTAATGTTTGACGTAATCACTTTCATTATTTTTTCACCTAAAGTTTAACGCATCAATAAAAAAGCGAATAACGAAAGAATTACTGTCAAATATAATCCAATTTTATGGCGTAGTCTTCTTTTCTTACCAGAGAGGTTTACACCGAGGTAAATCCCGCTAATCTAAACCACTATAACGAGGATTAGGACGAGTAGATTTATTCTAAGTGTCTTCCCCTCCCCCCTGCCCCCCCCCACACACACACTGGGAATGAAAAGGAATATTGAATGTTGTAAATAATACTGCTGGTTAACTCTTCAATATTTTATCGTTGGCCGCTGCTAGATTCTCTGTCTCTCTCTTGTACACTATTTCACCCCAGATGTGTACCTATGTGTCTTCCTTTTTGTGATTTTATCTCTTCTATATGTATCTCATTGACCTCCATGTGTCTTTTATTTGTGTCTTTGTCTCTCTTATTCATCTCTGTCTCTAATCTATATCTTTGCTTTGTCTCTCATCTATGTGTCTTCAACCATGTCTTTGTCTCTCATCTATGTTTGTCTCTATGGTTTTGGGACGATCTCATGGACCTCCCCAACCCATAAAATCTTCCCAAGCCCAAAAATCTATCCCCAACCCATAAATCTGCCCCAGCCCATAAAATCTGCTCCAGCCCATAAAATCTTCCCCAACCCATAAAATCTGCCCCAGCCCATAAAATCTGGCCCCAACCCATAAAATCTGCCCCAGCCCATAAAATCTGCCCCCAACCCATAAAATCTGCCCCAGCCCATAAAATTTTTCCCCCAAACCCATAAAATCTGCCCCAGCCCATAAAATCTTCCCCAAACCCATAAAATCTATCCCCAACCCATAAAATCGCCCCCAGCCCATAAAATCTTCCCCAACCCATAAAATCTTCCCCAACCCATAAAATCTGCCCCAGCCCATAAAATCTTCCCCAACCCATAAAATCTGCCCAAACCCATATAATCTATCCCCAACCCATAAAATCTATCCCCAACCCAAAAAATCTTCCCAATCCATAAAATCTATCCCCAACACATGAAATCTATCCCCAACATAAAATCTATCCCCAACCCATGAAATCTTCCCAAATCATGAATGCCCTCCCTGGCCATGTCTGAATAAACAACTTAACAAAACAATCTCACCACCTGGACCCTAAAGTCTTCATAAGCTCCCTCACATCAACCACCATTTAATGTTGAATGAAGAAAAGATTATTAGGTATTAAATTCTTGAACTGAATTATCGCATTAAAGAAATATTTTGTCTATATAGAAGAGCTTGAGTCACCCAAAAGCCCCTTCACACCTCTCTTGTTATGATAACCGAATTGAAGAAGAAGAAAAAATTGCAGAGTGCAAAAAGTTGATCCGTAGCAGAGTGGGGTGGACTGGCAGCTTAGATAAGGCCCTCCCCTTCCTCCCCCCCACTCCCATCCCCACTCCACTCATCTCCTCTCTCCATCCCTCCACTCCATCCCACTGTCGCCACCACCTCATCCCCCTCCCCCACTCCATCTCCCACTGTCGCCACCACCTCATCCCTCCCCCTCCACCCCACTCCGCCCCACTCGCGCAAATACCGTGTTATCATCCCTCCCAGTTTTTGTGTTATTTTTTCTTCTGGTTATATTTTTTTTATTATCTTTGGTGTTATTTCTCAGTGATATCAGAAGGTTGGACCACCCACATGTTGATTAGTTTGGGAGTGGTGGTGGAGTGACGGTTGTGGTGGAGTGACAGTTGTGGTGGAGTGACGGTTGTGGGAGTGACGTTGTGGTGGAGTGACAGTTGTGGTGGGAGGACAGTTGTGGTGGAGGACAGTTGTGGTGGAGTGACGGTTGTGGTGGGAGTGACGGTTGTGGTGGAGGACAGTTGTGGTGGAGTGATTGTTGTGGTGGGGTGACAGTTGTGGTGGAGCAGTTGTAGTGGGTGACGGTTGTGGTGGAGGACAGTTGTGGTGGAGGACAGTTGTGGTGGAGTGACAGTTGTGGTGGAGTGACGGTTGTGGGAGGACGGTTGTGGTGGAGTGATGGTTGTGGTGGAGTGACGGTTGTGGTGGAGTGACGGTTGTGGTGGGAGTGACGGTTGTGGCGGAGTGAGAGTCCAGGACCTTGTGGCACTGTCATAATTACACCTATACCTGTGTGTCTGTGTGTGATAAGGACTATCAAGGCATACAACAAAAGGAGAGGAAATCACAATGGTTCCTGCATAAGGTATCACAGTGCCACGAGGCTGCAACAGTGCCATCATGCAACAGTGCCATCATGCAACAGTGCCATCATCATGCAACATTGCCATCATGCATCAGTGCCATCATGCAATAGTGCCATTATGCAACAGTGCCATCATGCAACAGTGCCATCATCATGCAACAGTGCCATCATCATGCAACAATGCCTCTATGCAACAGTGCCATCATGCAACAGTGCCATCATGCAACAGTGCCATCATGCAACAGTGTCATCATGCAACAGTGCCATCATGCAACAGTGCCATCATGCAACAGTGTCATCATGCAACAGTGCCATCATGCAACAGTGCCATCATACAATAATGCCATCATGCATCAGTGTCATCATGCAACAGTGCCATCATGCATCAGTGCCATCATGCAACAGTGCCATCATGCAACAGTGCCATCATGCAACAGTGCCATCATAACAGTGCCATGCATCAGTGCCATCATGCCATCGTCATACATGTGTTCGAAAAGGAAAACAAAGAAGATTTAAAACACACACACAGACCAGTTAACTTCCTGCCAGTTATGTATAAACTTTTACGTGAACTTAACCAACAGATTCAGACAATACTCGATTGCAATCAACAGAGAGAACAGTGCAGAGTCGTGGGCTAACTGCAGTACCATACATACATACATACATACATACATACATACATACATACATACACATACATACATATACATACGCACACACACACACCTTGTACGTGTTACCCTTCGAAGGTTCCATGGTGTTTACTGTGTTTAGGTTAAGTGATACAGTAATGTTATAAATATTTAAGGAACACAAGGAAATGTTGAAACTTACACAGGTATTTTTGTTGACATTTAATCTGATGTTTCTTGTATTATGAGGCAGCACAACAACAGCATATAACCCCAGATACACTCCACCAATACATACAGGAACATGTACTCCAAGGTTGACTCTCTGCCTTACAGGAGCTAGGTTATGTAACAAGCTCGATGTGTCATCCAGGAACTCGACACTCACACAGTCAGGTGTGTGTGTGTGTGTGTGTGTGTGTGTGTGTGTGTGTGTGTGTGTGTGTGTGTGTGTGTGTATGTGTGTGTATGTGTGTGTGTGTGTGTGTGTGTGTGTGTGTGTGTGTGTGTGTGTGTGTGTGTGTGTGTGTGTGTGTGTGTGTGTGTGTGTGTTAATATCACCACCAGCAGCCAGCGTGAACACTCTCCTCTGGCAGTGACCTCGCTATTCTCAGGCTGATACTGAAGTAGTTAATCTCTTAAGCTTCCCAATTATTGAGTTTTGTCGAGCATGAAATGAAGTCACTACGATTTTTGATCCTCCACCGATGGTGACGAGAGCCGCTGCCGCCCCCATCTCTGCCACTGATGCACGCGCCATTATATATATATATATATATATATATATATATATATATATATATATATATATATATATATATATATATATATATATATATATAATATCAAGAGAGATGTGAAACTTTGTGAGGAGGGAGGAAGAGGAGAAGGAAACACTAACAAAGTTTAGGTCAGTGTCAGGAGACTGGTGTCCTCCGTGACCAAGCTGGGCCAGACTACACGTCCTGTAGCTCTGCTCTCACTTACTTTATTTAGTTTTGGTAACTTCTTGTCGCGAAACTGACAAGTGTTTTGTGTAGTTTGTTTTATGTTGAGAAAATTGTTGTACAGTGATGATTATTTGTTTGTATGTGTGTGTGTGTGTGTGTGTGTGTGTGTGTGTGTGTGTGTGTGTGTGTGTGTGTGTGTGTGTGTGTGTGTGTGTGTGTGTGCGTGCGTGTGTGTGTGTGTGTGTGTTTTGTATGTTTGTCACTGATTTACCTACCAAGTCCGTCCAGTTGACATTATACATCTGTTCATCACTCCTCACTTGTTCATCACTCCCTCACCTGTGTTCATCACTCCCTCACCCGTGTTTATCACTCCCTCACGTGTTCATCACTCCCTCACCTGTGTTCATCACTCCTTCACCTGTGTTCATCACTCCTCACGTGTTCATCACTTCACCTGTGTTCATCACTCCTTCCACCTGTGTTCATCACTCCCTCACGTGTTCATCACTCCCTCACCTGTGTCATACTCTCACCTGTGTTCATCACTTCACGTGTTCATCACCCCTCAGATGTATTCATCACCCCCACACTTGTCCCCCCCTTGGTGTAGACGTTCATCGAGAGAGACATCCGTGTGGAGCTGACGTTCAGCGGGTGGTGACAGCGCACCACTACACCACCATGGCTGTGCTCACGGGACCCTTCCGGCCGGCCTGTTTCGACCCAGCCTCCGTCCGCTCCCTGTACGGCATCGTACCCAACCTGCACAACACCCAGTCTGAGGAGGACCTCTACAAGGCCGAGATGGCCACCCACAGGTAAGTCTTCTCCAAATTCGACTTGTCTCTCGGTCGACATTTTCTCGTAGTTACGACCTCTTCCCTTAAGCCGTCCGTAAACACGATGTGACTAATATGTGTATAAGGTGCCTCTATTTCATATAACTTACATGCTTCACCCGCTCTACTTACTGGTGTTGAAATCCTGAAATAATAGTAAATAAAAAATAATTGTTCCGTCTTAAACAAGTGCGTGAGAACTGACCTTCATAAATAATGCATCAGCCTGTGTACTGAGTCAGTCACTTGGGTTCACACCTCCACCAGCGTCGTGTTCTATAGAAGAAAGAGTAGAGTGCATTGGCCTCATATTGTAACACATCAATTTATAAGCTGACCTACTGTCCTAAAGAGTTCCTAGTGCAGTAAGGCAGGTACAGTATTTTATTTTGTTACTCACATCAGTCCTCAGCTTCACCCAGGTTACAGTAGCATTTTTTTTTTACAAATATTTTCATCCTGTCTTAACGTATCTCCCTCTACGAATAAACTGCCTGTACGTGCTCCAGCTTAAAACTGTGAGCTTTTGATCATTCCAGGTTTGCAAAAGTTGTTAATCCTTGCTAACCACCCAATTGTATAGTTCAACCAGCAGGTGAACACAAACGGGGCCAACAAACTCCATCCTAAGCCAAGGGAAGTAATCCTATACCACAATAACTCATTCCGTCATATAAAACTTCGCTGCGGCGACTGATACTGAGGGTAGGGAATTACCGGTGTGAGATGTGAAGCAGAATGAGAGGAAATTCTGTGTTGGATGATGGATGATGGCCGCCTTGGTAATGCACCTTCGGGTAAATGGACCAACACAAACCTAGCATCCTCTTGTCAGGGAGTTACTGTGTGTAGGAACTCATAATGGAACCCCTTTTAGGTGGTCTGATAGCTAGTTTGGACTGTTATAAGGTTGATTATTGAGAGTAATTGAGTATAAAACCCCCAACGACCCACAAAAACTTACTTACCAACTTTCATACAGTGTTGTTGTGCCGGGAGTAAGGGACCATCACACTAAGGTAGACTCCCAACACAGGACTATACCAACGTGTGTCTATACCACCCGAAGGCTTTCTTTATTTACTTGAGACTCTGAGGATGGTTCGCTTTCTTTCTTTTTCTTTCTTTTTTCTTCTTTATTTCTTATTTATTCTTCTTCTTCTTTGTTCGTCTTCTTCTTCCTTCTTTCGTCTTCTTTCTTCTTCTTCTCCTCCTCGCCCTTGTAACGTGAAGATAGTGAGTTGCGTCTTAAAGATTACTGGATCACCTGTCTAACCCTGACACCCTGACCCTCATACCCTGACCCTCATACCCTGACCCTTCCTCATACCCTGACTCTGCCTAACACTATACTTCCAGCACCTCTTCCTTCCTTCCTTCCTTCCTCTTACCTGTCACCCTACCACCACCATCACCACCCTCCTCCTCCGCCTGACCTCTCTTCCTTTCCTCCCTTAGGTCTCACAACCTCCTTACCATCACCATTCCTCTCTCTCTCTCTCTCTCCTCTCTCTCTCTCTCTCTCTCTCTCCCTTAACACCCCTCGACCATTCAGCTACGTCACTAACTTTGTATTTTCAATGGCGTCGTGACCAAGTTGGGATAACCTCAAAAATGTGTTGGGTTGAGGAGCCGCAAAATCTTCTCGTGGAAACTGTGCGGTGTCGAGAAGGCGGTGGTGGCGGTGGTGGTGTCGAGGCGGCTGTGGTGGCGGTGTCGAGGCGGCTGTGGTGGCGATGGCAGCGGTGGTAGCGTCAGTCTCTCCACGGGGATATTTCTCGCAGCATTGGGGATAAAAGTCGTGTATATTTTGGGTGATCAGCCGCGAAGCCTTCATGATAGCGAAGATGGAGACGTGTGGGAGGAAGCTGGCGTGGGAGCAGGCTGGCGTGTGGAGAAAGCTGGCCTGTGGGAGCAGGCTGGTGTGTGGGAGAAAGCTGGCGTGTGGGAGCAGCTGGGAGCAAGCTGACGTGTGGGAGCAAGCTGACGTGTGGGAGTGGCGTGTGGGAGCAAGCTGGCGTGGGAGCAAGCTGGCGTGTGGGGAGACTGCTGTGGGGGAGACTGCTGGCGGGGGAGTGTTGGCGTGGGGAGCAAGCTGTGGGGAGCAAGCTGTGTGGGGATGTTGGCGTGGGAGCAAGCTGGCGGGGAGCGCTGACGTGTGGGAGCAAGCTGGAGTATGTGGAGCAAGCTGGCGTGTGGAGCAAGCTGGCGTGTGGAGCAAGGCTGACGTGGGGAGCAAGCTGGCGTGTCATCCCCATTCTTGCCTCCACTGATTTGACATGTGTGTGTGTGTGTGTGTGTGTGTGTGTGTGTGTGTGTGTGTGTGTGTGTTTCTTACTTCTTTATGTTTACGTTATAATTTTGTCTCTTGTTGATAACCAAGTATTTTCTGTGTCTCACTCCTTACCTCTTAACTCTCATCCCTTGTCTCTCACCCCTTGTCTCTCATCTACCTCTCACCCCTTGTCTCTCACCCGCATCTCTCACTCCGTATCTCTCATCTGCATCTCTCTCAATCCACATCTCTCACCTGCATCTCTCACTCCGATCTCCTCATCTGCATGTCCCTCCTGCATCTCTCACCCGTATCTCTCACTCCACATCTCCTCAATCTGCATCTCTCCACTCCGTATCTCCACTTCGCATCTCCTCACTTCGTATCTCCTCACTCTGCATGTCCCACCTGTATCTCTCATTCGTACCTCCTCATCTGCATGTCTCACTCATACGTTATCCACTGTACTGTAAATGCCCCTCTTCTCAGCCTCTTCACTAATATCCATAAATAGTTGGCAAATTTACATGATATTCAAAGTGCGATTCATTAATTAAGTTCTTCATTGATGCTTCCGACTTAACGCCGCTGTTGATATAATGCTCCAATAGCATAATAATGTGAATTAATTGAAGCTCTCTTATATGCGATTTCAAAATGCATACATTATACTCTTCTGTAACTCGTAAATTTTTTAAGTCTCGTCAATATTAGATTTATGTTGATGATCGCGGCCATTTGGAGTAGTTGTCGATCATAGTGGGGGGGGGGCCCTCACTCTGGGGGCCCTCACTCTGGGGGCCCTAACTCTGGGAGCCCTCACTCTGGGGGCCCTCACTTGGGCCCTCACTCTGCAGGCCCTCACTCTAGGGCCCCATCTGTCTGTGGAATGTGCTCAAGTAGTGAATCACCTGAATATTAGACACACCAGGTTATGTTACTTTTAAGATTAATCACGCTACCCCTACCCTCCCTACCCCCTACCCTACCCTACCCCACTCCTACCCTACCCCACCCACTCCCCCACCCTACCCTACCCTCACCCTACCCCACCCTACCCCTACCCTCCCCTACCCCACTCCTACCCTACCTCAAAGTAACATTACAGTGATAAAATAACCTCTGAGGTATTTAATCGTCAACAACCTCCACATAATTCATAAAATACGACACTAACACCCGCCACAAATTCCACACATAGACCAAAACGCAGAAATGACCACAATAACTCGGTCGTCTCAGCGAATGTGATCGACGTAACAGTAGGCAGCTGTTCCAACATACCTTACATTGCTCTTGTTATTTCCTCCAGGACTAAGTGATCGCTGTCTCGTTCATTACGTTCTCGGGCTCCCAGCTGCAAATATATCTGGTTGGGACTTCCGGCGGAGGCAATACCTAAGACGGTGGGGGGGTGGGGGGATGGGGGGTGGATAGGGTGTATGGAGAGGTTTATGTGTCCCGTGTCTCGTGTCCCGTGTCGTGTGTCGTCTGCCCTGTGTCTCGTCCCGTGCCTGTGCCGGTGGTCTGTGTAGGTTCTGTGTCTCTGTGTCCCTGTGTCCGTCCCTGTGTCTCGTGTCCTGTGTCTCGTGTCCGTCGTGTCGTCTTCGTGTCTGCGTCCTGTGTCTCGTGTCCTGTGTCTCGTGCCCTGTGTCATGAAATCTTGGTATGAATTGTAGTTTTGTCTCTTTTTTGTTTTCTTGCCTCAGTTTTAATCGTGTTTTCCTCCCTCACTGTTTCTCTAATTTAACCTAACCTACCTTTTACCTTACCTTACCTAACCTTACCTTTACCTTACACCTTACCTTACTTTACTTTTACCTTACTTACCTAACCTTACCTTTACCTTACCTTACCTTACTACCTTACCTAACCTACCTTACCTACCTAACCTCCTTACCTTACCTTACTTACCCTTACCTTACACCTTACCTTACCTAACCTAACCTTACCTTTACCTTGCTTAACTTTACCTAACATAACCTAACTTAATCTAACCTAACCTAACTTTACCTTACCGTAGTTAGGTATAGTGATTTTATGATAGTGAACAATGGCTTAAATGAAAAAGAACAAATTTGACCTTCAAAAAACTAGCTTCCATTAACATAACACAAAAAATAACAGTTCTACATATTCCCCCCCTCTCCCCCACACACACAAAAAAATAGTTACATATTAATTAATGACCCACGAAATAATTAAATTTGTCTTCATTTGCTAATTAATCGACTGATGTATGTTTTAGGTGCCAGTTTTTTAATGCATTTTTTTAGTTAGTCACTTTTGGTGTATAATTTACTTTCCAATTTGAAGATTTTTTTTATTTTGAGTTTATTCATAATTAAAGTTTAGGTAATTTTAATCTTGTTTAAGGATATGTTAATTGGGGGAGGTCAAGTGTTGGTTGTGATAAGTTGTGGTTGTTGTTATGATCATAGTTCGTTACACTGGTGGTGGTTGGTTGTAGTCGATGGTGGTGGTGATGGAGGATGACAGGGTGGCAGGCCTACACGGGGAGGGGGGGGTGGGGTCAGGAGGTAAGTGGTTTCCACCAATCACAACTCAGCTTCTTACCCATATGAACCCTCTGTGAGTCTCCTCCCAGCCTGTTGTCTCTCCCTGGCCTCTCCCATTCACCCTCCGTAGCGTCTCTCTCTCTCTCTCTCTCTCTCTCTCTCTCAATGATTCAATCAGCTTCATG